AGTTAAGCGAAGTATTTTGTGGGTGCAGGGATAAACAATGTTGTCGAAATAAAAACTGTCTATGCAAAATATGATGGTTCTTTTTCCTGTATTTCAAGTTTTGAAACAACTGTACATTCTGAACGAAAGTTCTACAAATAAATGGTTGCGTGTGGAGTAAAAAGTGGAGCCAAAATTTAAGAATTTTTGCAAAAAAACATCATGCACAAGCTACTGTTCAGCTCAAAAGAGTTGCTAGTGGTTGAAATTAGTCAATTAAAACTTTCATCTGTATTATTAAGAATCATGAACGTGATTTTTGTGTTTTTTTTTCAAGAAAAAAAGTCCTAAAATTTGTTCACGCTCTATTTTGATTCTTCGCGCTTTGATTAGTGAACTCTTTAAGTTCGGTGTATTTCCATTGTTGAAAGGAAGGCATATTCCACCATTGAACAGCAAAAACTTAAAGGCCACGAAAAACGAGATGATCTTCCATTTTCGAAAATGGATTTTAATTTTCATATTTTCCAGCGGAGTAAAACCTTTCCTTTTTGATCCAGTTTACTCAACTTGGAATAATTTTATCAACAAAGCGTCAATCAAAACAAATTTTTTCAAATTCAAAAAGCCTTAGGCCAAGTTTTGATTCTTTGAAATTCGCAAGTTTTTTCTTCAAAAGCAGTCAGTATTTTCTGTTTCCTTGCTTTCGTTGACTCTTTTCCAACTGCCTCCTGGCTAGTTTTCAACGATAGTCTATCAACTGATGGTAGGGTATTGGCAACCGTCAAGCTGTTTTTGTACCAATTATGCTAAATTTGAACTGTTTTTTTTTCAGCGCCACAAAATACTTTTAAATTTTTAATCTAGTTTAAGTCACCGCTGAAAAATCTCAACATGATAACTCATTGAGAACCATACAAAAATTTTTGGAGTGTATTCTGTAAGGTGAAAAAATGAATCCAAAAAATGACTGATCATTTCAGGTAGCAGACCAATAAACATTCAAATCATTGGGAAGCAAAAAAGAACTTTGAACGATTGAAGTAATGCGAAAAACGGCGAAAACGCTGCAGAACTCCGGTATTGAAAACCTTCAGAGAGAAGGTTTTCAATACCGGAGTGCTTCAGCGTTTTCCGGCAAAACAGCAGCAGTCAACGGAATTGAACAAAACGGACACTCCTCAAGTTTGGTATTCTCAAAACCTTATCAAATCAACGGTTGACGAACAAAATAACTTTTTCTTGTCGGTGGTAAGGGAACCTATGTTATGAATGAGTCTATTTTTTATCATGACCTCCTCAGACCTCATCTTGAAGACACGGTCTTGAAAGTCTGATCAAAATGCGCTCTGAAAAAAGGAAACTAAAAAAAACGAAACAAAAGAAATTGAGTTAACACAACATTCATTTTTCAATCTAAGAATTGTTACACTGCAGAAAATTCTTTAGAAACTGAAAGAGTGAGTTTCCAATATGTACACATCGACGATGCAAAAATCACATTGCGCTACAAAATAGCGAATGAAAAAAAAACAAGTAAAAACCAATCTGAATAATTATATGTTGGAAAAAAATTACTTGAAAAGATAACTTGACAAAAGTTGAAAAATTACAGCTACAAAAACTTTATATTTGTACCAGATGAAGTTCACAGACAGCTCTTAAAATTGGAAACCATTTACCGAGCGGCAACAAAGGCGACAAAATTTGGGTCGAAACCTGTTAAGCGGAAAACAAAACTTGTCAAAAAAATTTCATTTAACCTGAAAGTTTTTATGACCCATCCGAATTGACATAATTCCCAATGGATATATTTTGTCCTCAAAATTACGGAAAACAGTTTGTATAATTTAAAAAATCTATATAAGATAACTCTATATGAGACATGGTTAATTTTAAAATGTGTGAAGTTTCAGTTCAGCTAAAAAATGTTTAAATTTGAACAAAATCGATGCTTTAAAAATTTATAAATAAAAAACCTACCAGATAAAAAAGGGCGTTTACAAAAACGGAAATTGAACCAATAAAAACTAGGACGAAAACCAGGAACCCAAAAAATATATATATTTTTTGAAAAGATAATTACAACCTGAAACGGGCTTAAACTAATTACTAGCTGACGGATAGTACTTTTGAGTTTTCAAAAATCCCAAGAAGTGAAGATCGTCTAGAAGTTGTCCACTTTCTTTACGGGGAAAAAGTCTAATACCCGATTGCAATACCCTTGGTTATCGCAAGAGTGATAAATAACAAACGAAACGAACCGTTTCATTTATGTTTTAATCCTTCAGAGTAATTTCAGATTGCAAGAAAATTCCGTTAAATATAGCTAAAAACAGCTAAGATACAAAAAGAAAACAGTAATACCCGTAAAGGAACGCCCAAAAAACAAAATAAGCGAAACTATATCCTTTCTCAATTGACCTTGAATTTTTTCTTATGTTCCGTTTTCGTTACCCCAACTATAATTAGAAAAAAAGAATATTAAATTTCGTATTTGCATATACCCCTACTTCCTATAAATTATAATTAAGGTACTGTAAGAACATCATGCACAAGCTACTGTTCAGCTCAAAAGAGTTGCTAGTGGTTGAAATTAGTCAATTAAAACTTATATCTGTATTATTAAGAATCATGAAAGTGATTTTTGTGTTTTTTTTTTCAAGAAAAAAGTCCTAAAATTTGTTCACGCTCTATTTTGATTCTTCGCGCTTTGATTTGTGAACTCTTTAAGTTCGGTGTATTTCCATTGTTGAAAGGAAGGCATACTCCACCATTGAACAGCAAAAATTTAAAGGCCACAAAAAACGCGATGATCTTCCATTTTCGAAAATGGATTTTAATTTTCATATTTTCCAGCGGAGTAAAACATTTAATTTTGATCCAGTTTACTCAACTTGGAATAATTTTATCAACAAAGCGTCAATCAAAACAAATTTTTTCAAATTCAAAAAGCCTTAGGCCAAGTTTTGATTCTTTGAAATTCGCAAGTTTTTTCTTCAAAAGCAGTCAGTATTTTCTGTTTCCTTGCTTTCGTTGACTCTTTTCCAACTGCCTCCTGGCTAGTTTTCAACGATTGTCTATCAACTGATGGTAGGGTATTGGCAATCGTCAAGCTGTTTTTGTACCAATTATGCTAAATTTGACCTGTTTTTTTTTCAACGCTACAAAATACTTTTAAATTTTTAATCTAGTTTAAGTCACCGCTGAAAAATCTCAACATGATAACTCATTGAGAACCATACAAAAATTTTTGGAGTGTATTCTGTAAGGTGAAAAAATGAATACAAAAAATGACTCAACATTTCAGGTAGCAGACCAATAAACATTCAAATCATTGGGAAGCAAAAAAGAACTTTGAACGATTGAAGTAATGCGAAAAACGGCGAAAACGCTGCAGAACTCCGGTATTGAAAACCTTCAGAGAGAAGGTTTTTAATACCGGAGTGCTTCAGCGTTTTCCGGCAAAACAGCAGCAGTCAACGGAATTGAACAAAACGGACACTCCTCAAGTTTGGTATTCTCAAAACCTTATCAAATCAACGGTTGACGAACAAAATAACTTTTTTTTGTCGGTGGTAAGGGAACCTATGTTATGAATGAGTCTATTTTTTATCATGACCTTCTCAGACCTCATCTTGAAGACACGGTCTTGAAAGTCTGATCAAAATGCGCTCTGAAAAAAAGGAAACTAAAAAAAACCGAAACAAAAGAAATTGAGTTAACACAACATTCATTTTTCAATCTAAGAATTGTTACACTGCAGAAAATTCTTTAGAGACTGAAAGAGTGAGTTTCCAATATGTACCCATCGACGATGCAAAAATCACATTGCGCTACAAAATAGTGAATGAAAAAAAAACAAGTAAAAACAATTCTGAATAATTATATGTTGGAAAAAAATTACTTGAAAAGATAACTTGGCAAAAGTTGAAAAATTACAGCTACAAAAACTTTATATTTGTACCAGATGAAGTTCACAGACAGCTCTTAAAATTGGAAACCATTTACCGAGCGGCAACAAAGGCGACAAAATTTGGGTCGAAACCTGTTAAGCGGAAAAAAAAACTTGTCAAAAAAATTTCATTTAACCTGAAAGTTTTTATGACCCATCCGAATTGACATAATTCCCAATGGATCTATTTTGTCCTCAAAATTACGGAAAACAGTTTGTATAATTTAAAAACTCTATATAAGATAACTCTATATGAGACATGGTTAATTTAAAAATGTGTGAAGTTTCAGTTCAGCTAAAAAATGTTTAAATTTGAACAAAATCGATGCTTTAAAAATTTATAAATAAAAAACCTACCAGATAAAAAAGGGCGTTTACAAAAAACGGAAATTGAACCAATAAAAACTAGGACGAAAACCAGGAACCCAAAAAAAAAATATATTTTTTGAAAAGATAATTACAACCTGAAACGGGCTTAAACTAATTACTAGCTGACGGATAGTACTTTTGAGTTTTCAAAAATCCCAAGAAGTGAAAATCGTCTAGAAGTTGTCCACTTTCTTTACGGGGAAAAAGTCTAATACCCGATTGCAATACCCTTGGTTATCGCAAGAGTGATAAATAACAAACGAAACGAACCGTTTCATTTATGTTTTAATCCTTTAGAGTAATTTCAGGTTGCAAGAAAATTCCGTTAAATATAGCTAAAAACAGCTGAGATACAAAAAGAAAACAGTAATAAACCAAATAGAAAACCAAATAGAAAAAGCGCCGATTCCAAATCAGGTTATTGAACAGCTTCAAGCTGTACCGAATGAAGACGACATCCCTGACCTCAATACACACGTGGCTTTGGTCAATTGAGGTCGCGACATTCCCTCAACTTGGAGAAGGCATGCGCCGGACGCTCACAGACATCGGGCTAACAACCTTTTTCAAAAAATTTCATCTGAATTATTCCTCTAGAAATCCTCCCTGGAAAGTTTTTTAGATAAATTCAATGATCTTTTACTGTATACATTTTATTTCCTTTGTTTCATTGGTTTTGTCGTAATCAAATGAAAAGGAAAAATGAAAAATTAATTGAAGCAAATATTCAAAATGCAAAAACAACCTAACCATCTACACAAACAACTACACAGTAAATAAAAACACAAAAACTCCATTTCAGTTCTTATATTAATTCTCGTCATCTGAACTTGAGATAGCAGCAACTCGCTTTCTTTTTCTTGAAACCGATGCCTCGGAAGCAAAATCTGATACATTTGTCACATCACGAATACTATTTACTTCATTTGTTGCCAACGCATCATCAACTTCTTCTGGGCTATCCGAGTCTAAGGCTCCTCTATCAGGTTTTTTAAATTTCTTTCTATCACTTTCCCGATTTCCATTTTCATCCTCTGAGCTCTCTTCATTTTCGTTCCGCTTTACATTATCAACGTTATTATCAGAATCACTGTCGCTGAAGTCAATTCGCTGCAATCTTGATCGACCGCCGCTTTTGAAGTGATTATATGGCTTTTTAGAAGCGTTTTCCTTGGTCTCAAAAGACTCGACATCAGATTCAGAACTAGCATCGCCACCAATATTTGCTTCTGGTTCAATTTTTCTTCTTTTTCGAGCACTACTTTTCGAACTGCTGGGTACCTTCTTTATTTTATTTTTCTTCTGAGATTTTAAATTCGCCACAGGTTCGTCATCACTGTCGCTTTCAGATTTTCTTTCATCTATTGTCAGATTTTTTATAGGGTCTTCATCATTGTCGTCGCTACTTTCAATCGGAACCTTGGCGTTTTCATCAACATTATCATCAACATCGTTTTCTGTTTTATCGTTTTGAAAATCATCCTCTGGAGAACTGGCATCTTGAGCATGACCCCCTTTAAAATTATTCTCTTGAGAGATACTTTGCGATTTCATTTCCTTTTTCCTTCTTTCTTCTGCTTTTCGTTTCAGAGCCTCCAACTGTTCTTTTCTTTTTTGAGCTATTTTTTCTTCATCTTCAGAACTTCTGTAGCCTCTTTTGTCATCGTCATCGCCACCATCATCTGATCCATCGTCATCAGATGCTTCCGAATATTCTTCATCCTGATTCTGAGAGTTCAGCTTAGTTTTTCCTATGCTTTCAGCTGATATTTGATCTTCATCCGACTCGTTTTCATTTCCATCATTCTTCTCAGCGCCGTCTTCACTGTCGTCATTTGAGGATCTCTGAAGCGCATGTTGCAAGACATCTATTTTTTTCGTAAGAGCCTCTGATGAGAGGTAATGTGGTACTCTCCAGAAGATTTCAGTGCCTTCATCGCCCATACTTGTAGGCTGACACATTCCTAACAACTTCAGAATCCTGTTGAACTCATTTCCACAATCCACCAGAGCCTTTTCCACGACATCGCCATTTGGCACCAAAGGAAACGAAACCATGCCACTGTTGTCATCTTCGTCTGGGTCACTATCATTTTCCAGATCCTTTTTTACTTCTGCAGAACTTTTTAGACTATTTATTAACCAAGTTAACGAGTCTTTGTAATAGCCGCCATCTTTCCTCAAAATACAATTCGTTAAGCTTGAAACCTGTGCTTTTGATTTTGCTGATAGATCTCCATTTGGAAGAGCTTGCTCTACAAACTCGTGCTTTGATTTACTTCTGAAATTTCCAGATTTGGGTTTCTTTTTGGCTGATCCTTGTTTCACTAATTGCTCTTCAATGTCAAAATCGTCCTGTTCAAGTAAATCGTTAGCTTCCAAGAAGTTTAATCCTTTTCCTTTCTTCTTGCTACCTACACCTGACGCCTTATAATCCAGATTGAGATCCTTCGTTTTTTCGATGACTTCCTTTCTCGAAGCTTCAAATGTTTTGTGCTCCAAAATCAATTTCAGTTTTCTATATTTTCCGTAGAGCTCTTGCAATTCCATAATTTCTTCTTCGTCCCAAATCTTGGCTTGTTTGCCAGACTTTCTAGGACCAGTTGCTCCAGATCCGGAAGATTTTTGCGTTCTCAACTCTGCAATACTTTCGACCAGCTTCAAATCAACTAGTTTATTTGCTATCTGTTTTCTCGACTTAGGCGTCGAGAGCTTGTCCAAAATTTCGCGCAGTAAATCGGGAGAACCTTTATGAGTTTCAAACAAGGTTTTCAGTTCTTCGATTACAGTTTCGGGCCAAACATCCGGCTTAATTATTTCATTCTTGCTTTGAGCCAACCCCATCGAAAGTAGCTTCTGAATTATTCGAACTTTCGGCTTCTTGTGAACCATTGCACTGTAAATTTCCGATAACGGATCCTCACTTTCGCAAAACTGTTCCCACAAAAATCTAAGTTCAGTTTCATGCTCTGGTCGCCATACGCCTAAATTTTCACGTCCTGATACCATTCGCAAATCATTCAGATCTTCGACAAGTTCTAAAGATTTGAGCTGATTTGCCACTACTTTCGGTTTGTTTAGCTCACGAGAGAAATTAGCCATAATGTATTCAACAACGCCACCTTGTGCTTCGTTTTGTTCGCTTTCTTGGTACTCTTTAAACAAGCGTCTCAGCTCTTCGTTATTTTCTTCTGTGAAGACCATTCGGAAATTATCGCTTCGACCATGATTAACGTAAGTACCGTACCCATCAATAATTTCACAAGCTACTGACGTATCTTTCCAGAAAATAAGTTCCATATAAACGTTTTTATTATTTTGAGCAGCGCGTACAAACTGCTTGATCAAATATTTCCCAAACGTTACTAACTCTTTCATTACTGGATCGAGAGCCAGTTTGTGCTTTAGCGTTCGTATTGAGGCTTCTCTCAAGATGTCGCGTAAAGTGGTAAATAACGATGCTTGGAACAATAACCCTGGCATACTTAAATCACATGCTATTCTGTGCAACATTTTCAGCACGCTTTTATTAGTCTGAGAAAAATTCGTTCTAAAAAACTGCAATAAATAAGAGTAACATCGGACAACGTCGTGTTTTGCATACTGTTGCAAATGCGAGTTGAAATCAAAATAGGCTTCATTAGCGTCTAATTTTCGCATTTCATCATCTTCAGAACTGGTATCCGATAAAAGGCCGCCGTCTAAGAGTTCTTCATGAAGCGCTTCGTTGTTATCAACACGTGTATTCTCATCTTCACCTTCTGAAACACCGTCCAACTCAGTTAGCTTCTTCACATTATCCTCAAAGTCAGGGATTCTTGACTCGTCTTCAAAATCTTTAAATTGACCCAGACTGCTTTTGAAGGAAGAAATGTCGATCTTGTCCGCAAAATGAATTGACCTCAAAATTTCAAATTCATCTTCCATTGAGGCATCGACAGCTCCAAAAATGTCACCTTCGACCCAAACTTTCCTGCACTCCCTCAAAAGCTCAATTATTTTACCAGCGGTGACAGTTTGAATACATTCCGTTTCTGGTTTCTCTGAATCGTCAGAAGACTCAACTTTATCAACGCTCTGGAGCGATCTTTGGATCCTAGCAACCGCTATTTGCTTTTGGTCATCTAACGAAATATCGCTCAGAGGGTCAAACGGAATCATAGTTTGCTCAGCTGGTGTAATTCTACCCTGAAAAATTCCACATAAACTAGGGGCAATATTGTCCCAAAGACTTTCTTTCTTTTCCAATTCGGCTTGTCGTTTACGTTCTTTGGCTTCTTCGTTCGAAACTACATTTTTCCCACTTTTCGCTCCTGATTTTGTTGGTAGGGCATTCCGTTGATCAGGTTTCTTTTTCTTCTTTTTGCCTCCCTTTTTCTTTACAATTAGTTTTTTCTTCGACGTAAAATCTTCTAACATTTTGAGAAACACGTGATTCGTTTCAACTAAATCTTTCAAATAACTTTTACTCATTTTGGTTTGGTCGAACCTTTGCATGAAGCTGATGAAGAGATCACGATATTCACTGTTGTAGAATAAATTCCGCTTCAAAATATCGGCAGATCTAACTATTTCCTTTTCCTTGTGGTTTCCCATTTTCTCGCACGATTTCAACAGCTCTCCAAAAGTTTTCAGAGCAAGGTGCATTCTTTCAGCCCATGAAATTGCAACAAACTTAGTTTTCTTTTCTTGCAACATCATTTCGTAATATTCTCCCATTTTTAGATGAATGAAGTTGAAAATCTGTGATGACAACACTTCTGAAATTAGTTCAGGCCTGAACTTATAACACCTGTTGAACTCCAGGAAAAATCCCATCGACCACAAAAAGTATGACTCATCATTGTACTGAATTTTTTCACGTCTGATTGCATCGCTAGCCGCGTGCATTAAATTGTTAAACGCATGCTCTAATAATTCGTTCACGAACTCTTTCAGAAACTGCCGAATGACCTTTGTCGACCTTCGTGGAACCCCGCGGTCACCAACTGGCAGTAACCTTTTGGGTTTCCGCTTGCCAGTTTTCAAGTCATCAAAAGAGATATAATTTGCTTTCGTTTGTGATCCGTGAAATATCAACTTGTTACTAGGGTTCAAAGCTTTCAAATTTTGAACATAGTATGACCCGCCGAATCTTGAATGCCTCGTACTACTTACAGTTGCTCTACATTTTCTCTGCTCTTTTTCTTTCAACAAAAGAGCACACAATTCCTTCGCCTCAATTTCAGCTTCCTTTTGACTTTTCTGCCATTCGTTTAAGTCGGATATTTGAACAGACGGAGTAGATGCGAGAAGTTCGGGGCTTTGATCACGTAACATGTGAAATAATATTTCCAACACGTGCATGCACCATTTTGATTGGTCTTCATTAATAGCCAAATATTTGAGCACCGCTTCAACTCCTGTTTTCTTCATGGTCCAAATAACTTGATCATGCACAGAGGCATCGTCGTCAGTCCGGTTCTCATCATTCGGATTTGAGTCGATATGCAAAACATTTCGAAACAAAATCAAAATTCTTTCTATCAGTAACTGATTTTCTTCATCTTCAGAATCATCCGATTCCAAAATATGTTTTATTCGCATGCCGATGTTATAGATCAGTGTTTCATTCACAAATGCGGATTTATAGCTTCTGAGATATCGTTCCAACTCCATGTAGTAACTTCTGAACAAGGCTTCTGTAGGCATGTTTCCGAAACACAAAATCGCTGGACTGCTCAAATTTTGCATCAACCGAATAACGGCGTCAAATAAATCCGTATCATCTGGATACGTGCAGATGATGCTGATCAAATCATTCTCGAACACTTTTAGGAACCCCACTTTTCTTCGAACCTGTCGTGTATCATCCTCCCGTTTCAGAGTTCGAATTAGTTCTTTTACACTTAGTTCGCAATCTGGTTCTTTCGTGTAAACACCTTCCGCCTCGTCAAAAAAACCGAGAGAGGAGCAGCATGCATGGAGTCTGGCCTCTGCGAAATCCATGACCTTCACTCAAATTATTACGATATCATCAATCTGAAAAGACGCCAATTACTGAAAAATCCGTTAAATGAAATTAAAACTAGATATTTTCAATTCAAATAAAATTAGCATGAGAAGTCTTTTTAGAATGCTCAAGGAAACAAAAACAACTGAAATAAGAATATGAAATTCCATGAAAAAAATCAATATTTCCCATTTTCAAACTATCAACTGGAAGTTGTCGTAGAAGTGCTAGTTAAATCATCATTCATCAATTGCGAGGTTTCGTTTACTAATTCCTGCTCAGTCAATGTTTCATCCTCAACTCTAACATCTATCACAACTGTGTTTTCTTCGTTAACTTCACCGTCTAATTTCCTCTGTTTATCTTCTTGAAGTGTTTCCCCTACTTTTTCAGGCATGGCTTTAACTTCTTCGTGGGATCTACCAGCTAGTCTCAAGAAGTGTTCTTTCTCGCATGCTTTGACGTACGCTCTTACAGTATAGCGACCCTTCCAAGCACAGAATGCAAATGACTGCATCATACACTTGTTTTCATCTTCGTCTAACTTCGGTTCATCTTCGGGTGAAAACTTTATTATAATACACCCATTGCCAATCTTCGCTATTGCAGCTTGTGTTTTGTCGCTGAAGTTACGGAAAGAAACTGAATCTTGCACCAATACTTTGGTGACGTCGTCTAAATACATAAGCAGAACATCAAGATAAAGAATTCTGTTAGTGAGTCCTTATCGAGAAAAGAACCCGTTTGACAATTGGAGGATTCTCTCGTGCCCTCTCACTGACAACACCCACCACTCAATTGTGTTTAGACAACGGCAACGAGGGCCATTTTAAAAATTGAGAAGGCAAAGAGGGCACACCAAACCCCCCAAAAAACCTCAAAATCCTTTTATTGTGAAAATAGTTGGAAACTGAGACCCAGGAAGTAGATTAAAACAGATTAAGTAAACTGCAATTTAAATCGACTATCATCAAGGAAAACAAAATTACGAGCATCATTCATTGATTGATTTCAGCAATTGATTTTGATTAACCTCTGGATACATGCAGACACCGTTTCGTGACATGGTCCAGCATAAGAGCGAGACCGTCCTGTACAATCCTGTAGTTGATATCACTCTCCTCCGAGAGACGCTTCTCCAACACCAGTGCACCTGCATGGATCACCTTCAGTTTAGAGTTATCGTTGGCCGAAACTGAAACAGAAAAAAGCTGCATGATGACACATTTATTGCAATTTAGCCAACAATCACTTAGAAAAGCGTCCATGCGACTTCAAAGAAAGCGCAAAAATATCAAGAGCTACTGCCTTTTCTTGTCAGATAGCCTAATTTGCGCGCCATTTAAATTTTTGAGACATTTTACAGAAAACATAGCCAACAGACAGTTGGAGAAGAGCCAATGAACGTAAGAAAACAGAAACAGCGAACAGACAGTTGGATAAGAGTCAAGGAACGCAAGAAACAAAAGAAAAACTGACAAATTTTTTGAAAAACTCAACTTTCAAACGAAAAACAAAGATGCGTTTAAAGTTCTTTGAATTTCTACAAAATTTTATGATTCAACTTTTTTGATTAATATAACCCAAAATTGAGAAAACTAGATCAAGAGGTAACTTTTTATTCCGCTGAGAAATCTGAAAATTAACTTCAACATTCGAAACTAGAAGTCGATCAAGTTTATCGTGACCTTCACACTTTTGCTGTTCGATAGTGGAGTTTGGCTTCCTATTGAACAAAATAAAATGTACAGAACTTATAAAGAAATCATACATCAAACCGAAAAAAAAAGTTGAGCCTGAGCAAATTTTAAGACTTTCCCTAATAACAAAACTTCAAGAGCACGACCAATTAAGAGTCTTCACTACACTCATCGACTCTTAAAAACTCACTATACAACTGTTTGATTACGAGAAACTTTTAATCGTTGACACGCTTTCAATATGTGACGAAAATTCACCCAATTTAAGAAAACTGCACCAACGAGTTAAGTTTTACATTTAGTTTGAAGTTGAACAAATGAAACCCAGATTTCAAACAGAAGTTCAATCATGTTTTACGTTATTTTTTGCGCCATCTAATTTCTTAAATGACAGTGAAATTTATTTAACTTCAAATAAGTAAAAGAAATTGAAACTATCTCAAAAAGAAATCAAAAGCTAATCCGTTAAAATTTCAATTTGATAAGAAGAAACTATCTTCTGATAAATAAACGAAAAGCACTCGACGAAAAAAAAGTGAAGACAGTGCGTGCGTCTACTAGCGAAAAAATTTGGACGAACGTACTTTTTCAAGAAATAAGTAAGAGTATAGCCTCAGTTGATTCAATCCACAGCTATTACTATAAGAAAAATCATCGTAAGCCCAAATTACTGAAAACGGTATATTAGATAATGAACCAATAAATTCTCTTACCTAAGTCATAAACTTTATTTTGCTGAGATCGAATTACAATTATAAAATTTGATCTAATAGTTAACATATGGCTAAGAAGAGAAGGTTGTTCCACTTAATTAAAATCAAAATTGAAAATACTAAATCAAAACTGAAAGCTAGCATAAAGCTAAAAAATTATGAAAGTTTCAAAAACGCAAGCTGTTTCGACTGGCATGAAAATATAATATATATTTTCATGCTATATTTTCATATACAGGTAAAATTTTGAGTAAAGCCTCAATCGATTCCTTTGCCTCAATTTCAGTTTCCTTTAAATTTTTCTGCCATTCGTTTATGTCGGTTATTTGAACATACAGACGTTCGAGGCTTTGATCACATAACAAATACTATTTCCATGTGCATGCATTATTTTGTTTGGACTTCATTAATAGCAGAAGATTTTAGCACCGCTTCAGTTTCTGTTTTCTTTATGGTCCAAATAATTTATTCATGCTCCAAAGCATCCTCGTCAGTCCCGTTTTCATCATTCGGATTTGAGTCGATATACAAAACATTTCGACCAAAATTGAAACTTATTTCTATAAATTATTGATTTGTTCATTTGGAAAATCATCCGATTCGAAAATATGTTTTATTCGCATGCCGATTTATAGATCAGTGTTGCTTTCAGAAATATGGAAATGTAGCTTCAAAGATATATTTCCAATTTCATGTAGACTGGTCAAATTTTGCATCAACCGAATACCGGCGTCAAATAAATCCATATCATCTGGATACGTGCAGATGATGCTGATCAAATCATTCTTTTACGCTTTTTGAAATTCAAAAATTATATGCTTGTCTAGCTTTATGCTAGCTACCAACTTTGATACATTGCTTTCAATTTTGATTTGAATTAAGTGGAAAAACCCTTCTTCCTAGCCATGAATTAATTATGAGATCAAATTTTGTATTGAATATATTTTGATCACAGCAAAACGAAAGCTTTTGCCTTGGTATGGGAATTTTTTGGTTCATCATTTACCTTTGCGTTTTCAGTATTTTGCGCTTTCAATAATTTTTCTTCCAAGTATTAGCTGTGGATAGAATCAACTTAGGCTATACTCATAGTTATTTCCTGAAAAATTATGTGCGTTGATTTTTTTGCTAGTCGACACACTAACGAACAAAATTTTTCATGAAAGAACTATGAATAGATCTTAAGTTGATTCTATGCACAACTGTTTTTTACAGAAAAATTATTCAAAACGCAAGTTTAAGTAATTCACAACACAAAAATGCCATACCACGTCAAAAACTTCAATTTTTGTTCTGGTCGAAATACATTTTATTTTATACAAAACTTGACATCCTAAGTATTCTATGGCTAGGAAGAAGGGTTAATCCACTAAATTGAAATCAAAATTGAAATGAAAGCTAGCATTAAGCTAAACAAGCTCAAAATTTTTAAAATCAGTGCAAAAACTAATGAAAACTAGATTGTGATATAATAACTTTGAGTAGAAGCTATATTGATTCAGGTAACAGCTGCTAATTTCATTGAAATTATTCGAAACTTAACTTAAAGTAATTTACAACATTAACTGCACTCCCACGTTAATTTTTTGCTAGTCGACACGCTGTCTTTTTCTTATTTCCATCACGGCAATTATTCGTCAATTCTGGTGGTTTAATTTTTGGCTTCTTTTTGAATTAGTTTCAAACTTTTAAGTGTAAAAAATTTAATTCGAGCTTTGAAATGAGAGGACGATACACGGCAGCTTCGAAGAAAAATGAGAGTCCTTGAAGTGTTCGAAAATGATTTGATCAGCATCATTTGCACGTATCCTGTGATACGGATTTATGTGGCTCCGTATGATGCAAAATTTGAGCAGTCAAGCAATTTTTTGTTTCAAAAACATGCCTACAGAAGCTGTGTTCATAAGTTACTACACGGATTTGGAAAGATTCCAAAATTGCCAAGTGACAAAAAACGGCTACTTTTTGGCCAAAACCTTCCAAAAATTAATGAAACCGATTTCTTCCTAAAATGATTGTTCTATAATATCGGCAGAGCTCTAAAACATCCTGACCTAAGCAAAATGTTGACCTAACAAAAGTTAATAGATGGCTGAACTAACAACAGTTTTTCAAATGAACCGTTGTTTCTTCAATCGAACCCCGGCCACTAATTTCAAAGTTTTCTTACAATTGTCGATTTCTGAAAAACAGGAATTTCAAACTGAACGGATTGCTTTTAGGTATTTGACAAATAAGCCATCAAATTTATGCTACTTGATATACAAAGATGTTTTCAAGCTTTTATGCTAGTCAAGTTTTATTGCAGTGAAACGGGCGCCAAGTTACGAGGGGGACTAACTTAACAGACTTTAATGAAAAATTCACACTTCCTAACTGCAAGCTCTCCTCATGCCTTGAAATTAAAAGTGTCAAAGACAGTAGACAAACTTATAAACCAGAACAAGACAGAAAGCAAGAAAAGCGGATGCTGTTTAAGTAGGTAGAACAGATGACTCCGACAATAAGCACTAATACCACAAAACTTAAAAACATCAATGACCCCAAAAAAACGGTAACATTTTTCAGCTTTCTCATTCAGAAGAAAAGCATACATTACCTTTAAATTTTTGGAATTTCATGAATATTTGATCAAAGTAGGATTATATCAAATGACCACTAGATTTATCAAAGATTTATTAAAGCTTGACAACGAACTATGAATATCTTTCACTAGCTTGAAATTGATCATATTTTTTGTTCAGAACATTGAAAATGAGGAGCTTTGTATTCTATTTTTTGTTTTTAACGCAAAAACATTAACCACAAATAATCATCGAATGGATCAAGTCATATATCAAATTGAAGCTCTTTCAGCCGTGTTTCGAACAATATTAGAAAATTTCCGAAAACATTGTCCTGTTGTCGAATAAACTGATTGGAAACTTTGCTTAATTTCGAGTTCGTAACGCGATCGATTAACGTTCGTTATATAATTGGTCCTTTAGGATAAAAAATTTGGTTTAATTTTTTTTTTCATTTTATTCATTTTTTGAATACAACTGTTGTCGATTATGCCAAATTCACTAAATTTTTACCCGTTTGTATCGTTCTCTCATCAAACACTAAATTGTCACTTAATTGAAGACAAAACCTTTTGAGTAGTTTTTAAGAATGTGGTCGGAACATTCTGTGCTACTTGCACAGCAGCCGGCTATCCTCGTTTTGTTTCGAAATTCGTCATAAAGTATTTCAACCATAGACGAGATATTTATGCAAAATTGTGGCTGAAAATTTTTTTGACTAACCGACTAAATAACTCGTTTTCGAGTTTCAATGAGTTCAAGCATGTACGCCGAGCCAAAACGTAGCTTCGCAAACACTAGGGACAAAAAGCAGCTCTAGAAAGTGCAATAAGAAAAAGTACAAACAAGCCCAGAAATAGAAAAAAATTCGGCTACGTCTGAAATTCGAACCTGCGAACTAGAGATTATGAGTCTCACAAAACAACCACTCAGCCACGGAAGCTTAATAGGCACTAAAAACTAGCTAAAATAAAATCAGAGAACAGATGCTCTGTAATTTCCAATGCTACGGTGAAATTTCAAAAAGTAAACACTTCTAGTGAACACTTTTATTTGCCAGTTAGGTTAGAAAAAAAGAACTTTCGTAATAATACACTGAGCAGATCGTTAGTGTAATTACAGGGGCGACAATGAGCTTTTCACTACTTGCGACTCAGTTATTATCCAAACTAACCAAAATATAAAAACCTATTAAATTTTATTTCCTTTCAAAAACCACGTAAAATGCAATTCTAATTTCGATTAGTTCATGAGAAAAAATTTGAAAAAAACATAGAAATTTATTGGATATTATAATAACATAGCCAATAGACACACAATTAGAAGTGAAGAACATGTAACGGGAAAAATAAACTCAACTTGGACTTTTCTGAAACAAATAGCTTTTTTCGGTTTATTTGAAGAATTAATAAGGCATCAACTGTGTTAAATTATTACAAATCGAATGTTAACGCAAATGCTATAAAAAGCCGTAAAGATGCCCAAAAATGGGCACCAATATTTGCGGATTTGTTTGGAAAAAAAGGATAGTCGTATTAATCCACAACGCTCGTTAAAGCGTGCTAGTTTAAGTATTAGTCGTCTTAGAGTCGGTTGCTGCTTAATTAAAGGTAACAACTTTTTTCAAAAGAAACTGGGTGTAGCAAATTACAAAGGTAGGCTTCCACACAGAGGCGAAGCTGCGCTTTGCAAACACTTGCGAGAACAAGACCAAAAGGCAGCTCTATCAAGTGGAATAAGAAATAGTATAAATAAGCCTCGAGTAATTAAAAACTCGGCTACGTGTAGGATTCGAATCTGCGACCTTGCAACTTTGAGTCTCACACACTGGCCACTAAGCCACGGATGCCTAAACTCCCCGCAAACTAGCCACTAAAATCCAAGCTACATATGCTAATAAATTGCCAATTCGATACCGCAAATACATGCAGCATAAGTCATGAGTAGCACCAAATACAAAAAGACACAATTTTGCATGTAATAAATCGCAAAGCATGTATAAATTATGCCTTTCAAAACATTGCAAGATATATTGAGTTACAAAATTTTTGAAATCGAGTTTTTATTATTGTTAAATTGTTTGAAACAATTAGCTATTTTCGGTTCATTTGATGAATTAAAAATTCATCAACTGGTTAAAACTTATTACTATTCGAATGTCAAAAACATGCTATCGATAAGCTGTAAAAGTGCCCCAAAAAATGGCACCAATATTTGCGACTTAGGACTTCGCAAGTGTAAACGTAATATCACGCTTGACCTCATGCGATCTTTCCTTCGGGTAGCTAAAATTCTGCTGAAAAAAAACAATCTCCGCCTTAGTCCTTTCCCACATCGTTAAGTGGTGGTAACTTACTGATTCTTCGGACAATGTCGGTGGTGTAAGATACCTTCCTTCCTCCTTCAGTGTCCTTCCTTTTCAGTAGATTCTGGAAGGGAAATGAGTCACTCACACCAAAGTCACTCTTCAGTGAGGCTACGCAGACATCACTCTCTATGTCACTCATATACACGAAGGGATCCTCCTTAAACCCTAAACAATTTCTCAGTAATCATGACAAATGAGTAAAAATTGCTACAGAAAATGTACAATGGCGCAAAGTTTAAAGTCATGAGGTTGCAGGATTATATTAATACGTCCTTTAACAAAAAATCTTTCTCCCACAACGGGGATCGAATACCGGATCTAAATTTTAGAGGCGATCATAAAGGCTATTTACTATGCAAAAAAGGTATGCAATATTTAAAAAACCTTAATGAAAAGAACAATATGTAGTCATTGCCGTAGTGTGAAAACGCATAGAGAGCTTTGCAGGAACCTACTATCGCCGACATGACCTTTTTTTCTATTTAATGAGTCAAGCATGGTTCTGTGAATTGATTAGCTTTTGTTATTATCTTGAAGTACTAAGATGTATGCTTAGCCACAGTCAACAGGATCATTCACTCGATACAAAAAAACAAGAACGTAGCAACTAATGAAAACATTTAGCTGAATGTCATCTCAATTACTTGTGATTAACATTTAGAAAAAACCCGGACCACATCTCCTCCGATGGCAAAAAGTAGATTCAGTTGACATGCTAATAGATCACGTGCTTAATTTCTGACCATAACCAAATAAGGTAAACTTTATTATACCTTATCCATATTCGAGCAAACACTAACCCTTGAATCTTGCTTGCTTCGCAGGAGGCGGTGCGGAGTTCTCAAATGACAGTGAGTCTGCACTGAATGATTCCAAATTGTCTTCCTCTACCTTTTCTTCTTTGATGCCATTAGATTCCTGTCCACTTTCATCAAGCTCGTATATTTTATTGGCTGCTGCCTTCCAATCTTCTCTAAATCACGTCAAAAAGTATAAACTTATGTCGCCTTAATTCGAATATGAAAAAGACAAATCCAAAAAGCAAAGGATGTTTTCTCTTTCACGTCGTTTAATGGAGTTTCATCTCTTTGATTTTGACATGGTTGCAGCAGATTTTGGCATGACTTTTTCAATTTCAACCAGACAGTCTTTCATTTTCACTAAAAACCAGTTCGCAAAAAAATCGTTCCAATGATTAGAAATTCAACATACTGTAGTCTCTTCCGCTTTGAAAAATTGACCAACTTCTCAATCACAGCCACAAAGAAACCGCCCGAATTCTGCTTGTACGGCAACACCCTCACGCATCTTTCCAAACTGAACTCATCTGCAACTTCTGGCGTTGATGGAAACAGAGTCGGCTGCAACTTTAAATTATCTGGCAACTCACTTTTCCTGTCTTTATATTGGGCAAACGACGCAAACGAAGTCGTTTCATTCGAGTAAACAGACCATGTTTTGATTCCTTTGTCTCTGATGAGACCTGGCAGTTCATGCGATACATCGACCAGCCGAATGACATCTGAGCCGAAGAAGTTAAGAGCTGAGTTTATAACGGCCTCATTTTCTACAGGGTTGAATGAGCATGTTGAGTACACGAGACGTCCACCCGCTAAAAAATCCTAATACTGAACCACTGAAGCTAGAAGAGTACATACACGGATACACCCCAAATCCAGGGTCCTATGTGTTAAGATTGGTTACAGGTTGTCAGTGCGGTGTTCTCTAGAAAAAAAAATAATTTAAAATTAATTCTATCGTGAATTCGTCATTCTAATTGGACAAAAAAAAACATTTTTCCCTGTTCAGTTTTTACAATTGGCAGTAATTCTCTTCAGCTCTACCTCAGTTCTCACCTAAAAAAATTCAGTCATTTTTTCTATCTCAGCACTTTTCTCATCACTACTTTTCAACAAAATTTCATCTAGTTCTGTTTAAATTTACGCTCTTGAAAAAATCAAGTTAACCTCATTTTCAGCAAAACTTCACCTGAAAATATTTCTTAAAATTACACTAAAAATGGCCCGATTCAACCTGAAGAGTTTCATGCAACAAATGTCTGGGGACCCGAAAGAATTGATTGAGGCCTGGATTACAGCCGGTTGATTGTCGACGAAATTGAGGATGAATTGATGGCAGAAGCAGATGACGGAGAGACAACGACGCCCGACAACGAGATGGAGGTGGTTGAAAGTTGCTCGGCAGAGCAACTAGAGACGCTGTTGTGCGGAATGACGGAAGGGTCGAAGAAGAAGTGTCGGCTGTATGCCTAAGAAGTGGACATACACCGTGAACTTGCGGTCACGGAGCCTTCAGCGGTATATATATGTTTTCTTTTCAGTTGCCTCTGACACCTCGTTTTTTTTCTCAATCAATTTTTACTTGGTTTTAGCTAACAAAGCTGCAGAAAGGACTGGAGCTCTGTTCGAATGGGTTCGGAGGTGAGGAGGAAAAAGAGGAGCCTGAGCTTGTTCCGTCAACTGCGGAAGATTTAAAAGACCTCAACGTGAATCACTTGAAGGAATGTATATGTTTTCAATACGCGATCGGTTTCAATCAGACGACGAGCTGCAAAAAGTTTTGAAGAAAATCAAAATTACTTGCGCCAGAACACGAAGGAGTCAACTGATTCGCCTCTATCGATTGGTTGAGAAGTTTCCTCTGCTTAAAAAATCAGATACTGGCTGCAAGCCCTCATAGATACTCAACAAGCTGTCAGTCATCAAAGCAGTTTGCGAAACCAACCCAGAGTTGTGGGCGGACGGTACCACTTTAGTCGATAGCAGCAGTGATGAGGAGAGCAGCAGTAGCAAAGATGACGTTCTATAAATGTTTTCGATTTTCATTGTTTGTCTATTAGTTTTAAATTTTTCCGTATGCGCATACGTTTGTTGTTGCAGGCTCTACTGACTGATGTTGCAAAAGGAAAAATATGTTGTTCAAGGATCGCAGGTTTCTCTTCCTCCTCCTCACCCTGCTGCTCATCTTTCTTTGCCTCTTTGACAAATTGTGGCGGTTCTTTTTGAGGTTGAAGGCGTTTTCCTTCCCTTGAGTCCTGAAGGCTATTTTAATGTTGTTGTTGTTGTGGAAGATAATTTGCGGGGATGAGGACAAATTTTTCGAGCTGCCGGGTTGTCATTTATGATTAACAGCAGGGGAAGGAAGAGGAAGAGGAGGAGGCAAGTATAGCAACCTTTCCGATTCTAATCTTAGAGCTGCGAGCATTTGTCTGGACAGGGGTCTAGTGGAATTGTGTGACCCGGATTCCTAATTAAATTTGACGAGTTGAGGTTATTAAAAAAACTCATCAAGGTTCCTGCGACCGACTGTTTCTGCAGCTCTAGGGGTAAAAAAAAAGAGCGGATTTACTTTCTCGACGATAGAGTGCATTTACTTTGACGACAATGAAGACGTTGATTTCTCAAGGAGATACATTCGTCAGTTATAAAAGTACAAAAACGCAAGGGGCAAGAGGGTGTGAGATCAATCAAAAAGTGACCTTAGTTCTCTTTCATGCATTCCAACGCGGGGACAGTTTGTTTAAGTATTGTAGTGTTTTTGTTGACTGTGACACCAAACTTTTCGTTGATTTTGACGTCCGGCTGGGGCTTATGTTGAAAAAGCCTTACATTGTAAAACTTCTTTACAAGAACAGTCAGAAATTACTAGAATTTTATTAGCAAAGTCTAGGAGGATTTTTAGTATGATTTGATCTATAACAAAAGAATTTGAGGCTTCGACACTGCTTTTTTGTTCGACACATACAAAAATAACGAGGGCGGGGCGGCTGTTTTGTTCATAAAAACTGGAGCTGGGAGTTCAAAGTCGGGAAAAATTGTTTGCCAGAAATAATAGATCTGAACCAAGTTTAAAAGCGGGTTGAAATATACCGTCAATTGGTTGAGTTAACATTGAGTAAATTAACTATGTTTTTCCAGATCCTGATGCAGCGCACACACACATGAAAATTCGATCATTTGTGGGGATTATTTTATTCATTTGTTTTGTTCAATTTACGCGCTGCCGTCTGAACATGAATGATGGCGATGATGAAACTGCAGCTGGGAGTAAACAACTCAAGTAAGTTAGTAGAAACTATTATAGAATAGGCAGTCTTTTCTTCACAATTGGGGATCTTAGGCACAGTTGCAAAACACACAAGGCAACGAGCATGAGCATACAGACAAAACTCACTTGAACCAAAAAAACAACGTCAGAGCCTTCTCTCCTAGAACACAAAAAATTCCACTTGGATTCCACTGCAGCTGAAGCCTCAGAGTCTGTTTGGTCTTCTTCAACACTACTACTTTCTGCTGCTAATTTTTGCTCTGGGCGAAGGCGGTGGTAGAAAAAACCTATAGTAGAAGATAAAATAGTTAAGTAAGTAGTGTTTTCCTCGCAAATATAAATTATATTGTGATTGCTGCTTGATCTACTTTGGGCCATCTTGAAAACACAAAAAGTCGAGAGATAAAACAACAAATCTTTGAGCGAAAAAGTGATTGACTATGAAGTAGGTTGTTGCGATCAACACCTTGCTGGTGCTGGTTTCTATTTGTGTAGCAACTAGTATTTAAATTGGCTGTTGCTGCTGCAATTTGGGAAGAGGAGGCTGCTGATCTCATTGTAGAAAAAAACTAAATGACCATTATTGTTACAATTAACAAAATGATAAAAAGTTTTATCATTCATAAAAACAGACAGTCCTTAGTAAGAGTAGTTGTAATAGTTTAAAGTATGTATTTTTTCTTCGTTACTTTTTTCCCGCTCCCTACTCACTCACTCTCACTCACTTCTTCTTCTCTTCCTCGCCATCGTCACTATCATAGACATTTGTCGCTCAAAAGATATAGGCCGAGTAATTACTTCTTATTCACCTTCCTTTCTTCTGTCGCTTCCACTGCTTCTGCTATCAATAACCCGAGCATACCCACAATCCAAGCACCCATATACATCACTCAAAACCCGGCAAATGGGTTCCCCTGCGGACGGCAGGCGATCGGGGGCGGGGCGGTCGGGCTTGGGGATGGGCGGTTGTCGAGATGTTCTACATAATCAAGCAAGTAATCAGTCAGTCAGGACCTGAAAAGCAGCAAAAGAGGGTAAACATCAACAATAACAGTTGATAAAAAATATATTATGGTCTTGCTTTAAGTTTGGTGGGTTTGGTGGTTGATCTTGGATGCAATTTGGGAAGAGGAGGCTGCTGATCTACTTTTAGAAAAAAAACTAAATGACCATTATTGTTACAATTAATAAAATGATAAAAACATTTATCATTCATAAAAACAGACAGTCCTTAGTAAGAGTAGTTGTAATAGTTTAAAGTATTTTTTCTTCGTGACTTTTTCCCCTCTCCCTACTCACTCACTCTCGCTCACTCCTTCTTCTCTTCCTCGACGACAGGCTTCTTTTTGTCTTTCTTCTCTTAGTCTTGGTCTTTCTTCTTGTTGTTGTTCTTGTTCGCTCGCTTGGCCCTCTTGTTGCAGCAGCTGGATAATGTCGTCGCCGTCGTCAACACTAATATTTTCCTTCGCCGCCATCGTCTCTATCATAGACATTTGTCGCTCATAAGATATAGGATGAGTAATTATTTCTTCTTATTCACCTTCCTTTCTTCTGTCGCTTCCACTGCTACTGCTATCACTAACACGAGCATACCCACAATCCAAGCACCCATATACATCACCCAAAACCCGGCAAATGGGTTCCTCTGCGGCGGCGTGGCAATCGTGGGCAGGGCGTTCGGTTGTCGACATGTTCTCCATAATCAAGCAAGGAATCAGTCAGTCAGGACCTGAAAAGCATCAAAAGAGGGTAAACATCAACAATAACATTTTGATAAAAAATTATATAATTTTCTTGCTTTAAGTTTGAAGTTTGGTGGGTTTGGTGGTTGATCTTGGATCATTAGCACGCACACAAACACACACACACGCACACAAAGACTGGCCGCCTGACTTGAGGTGAAAATCAAAAGTTGAAAAAAAATTGATTAATTCTACCAGGCAACAACTATCTATTCAGTACGAAGAAATGAGCAAAATGAAACAACGAACTACGACACCAGAAAAAAAATTTTTTAAATTGGGTCACAAATTGTGTTAGAGAATCTCTACATTTTCATCATCAAACGAGGTTCGCATATCCATCTGATGCTGATGAGTCTACTGGTAGTTCATCGTGCTCACAACTGCATTTACCGCCGATACAGAAGTTGCACGTAAACATTTCGCTAATCAGCGGAAGGCAAACATTGATGTTGAGCTCGTTTGTTGAAACAGCATCAGTAGCACTAGCAAAATACCTCTTCGGTCTTTTGCTAGTGCTACTGAAAACTCTTGGGTCCCGCAACGAAACATTGTCTTCTGTTGGGTTTTCTAATTATTGTTGCTGCTGTTGTTGTATATGAAAACTTCCTAGTAGGGACATATTGTGTGTCAATTGCTACTGCTGCTGTGATTGATGCATTCCATTGCTATTTTTTCTGTGCTAAGAAAATTTTTACTAGAATAACAATGTTTCGAATATTGTTTTGACTAAAAGTCGGCGCAAATCAGAAGCATCCAATCTCAAAAGCCATTTACAATTTTTCCCACTACTGTCAAAATT